CCTTTATCGGCGCATGCGTGCCACACTGAGCATTCAGAAGCACCGACATGACTATCCGACAAGGAATTCATTGTCAGTGAAAGTTACATGGTGTTGAACGTAAGATTGGTTAGGGTGACTGTTACACGGTCGGACAGGTTATCTAGCTTTCGTATGGAAAGTGTCCTCCAAACGCCGCATCTTGCCATTTCCTATACTTGAGTCTAATTGCTGAATCATCTTGCGCGCGCGATATGATCGCATATGACAGAAGCGCAGGGTCAGTCTACAAAACTCCAACGAGATGCATGAGTATCCCGAGGACCACTCGCTCTCGCTCTGTAAGTGCAACGACCGGAGCGGGGTGCCGGATGTCAATGGATCACTTGATGCAGGTGTCGCGCATTGCATTGCATAAGTAATCATAGCATTCGTTACTTCTGACAAGAGCGAAAAATCCAGTAGGAACACAAATCGACTCGCTGTAAATATATCTGATCTGATCTTTCCATCACTTCCATCTCAGAAAGGTACTACCATAATGATCCCATCCATCCCCAGCCTAATCATCATCTTAGCACACACAACCACAGCGCTCTTACAACCACCCCCAGCCAACATGACACACCCCCTGCCCCAAAGAATAGACGTCCACTCGCACTTCCTCCCACCCTTCTACCGCACCGCCCTCGCCGAAAACGGGCACTCCCATCCCGATGGCATGCCCGCGATCCCTTCCTGGTCTCCACCCCAACACCTTGAGATGATGGAAACAGCCAACGTCTCCAAATCCATCCTCTCCATCTCCAGCCCGGGAACAAACATCAACCTGCGCAATCCGGGATTAGCAATCGATCTAACACGGCAATGCAACGCCTATGCCTCATCTCTGAAGCAGCAACATCCCGAGAAATTTGGTGTTTGGGCTGCCCTACCGTTGCCAGATGTTGACGCGAGTTTGAGGGAGATAGGAAAGTGTATGGAGGAAGGAGTCGAGGGCTTTGGCCTACTGACGAATTACCATGGAGTTTATTTGGGAGATGGAGCGATGGACGCGGTGTTTGACAAGTTGAACGAGATTGGTGCGACGGTTTTCATTCATCCGACTAAACCTTGCGTTAGGAGTTCTGGTGAACCGGCTCAGACGACAGACGCCCTTCCATTTGGCGAGCAGTACCCTGTGCCTATATTTGAGTTCTTTTTCGATACTGCCAGGGCGGTTATCAATCTCTTTAGCACGGGGACGGTGGATCGGTGTCCGAACATCAAGTTCATCATTCCGCATTCTGGCGGTGCGTTACCGCCGCTTATGACGCGGTTTATTCAGTTCTCCAGCGTGGTGCCGGGCGGGAGGGTGTTGAATGCTTCGACGGTGCGGAAGCAGCTCGATAAGCAGTTCTACTTTGATCTCGCGGGGTTTGTGTTTGATGGAGAGAGTGGGGGGCAGGGGCAGTTGAAGGCGTTTGTTGAGGGGTTCGAGATCTCGTATGAGAGGTTGTTGTATGGGAGTGATTTTCCTTTTACGCAGACGCAGTTTGTAAAGGCGTTTGCAGAGAGGATGAAGGATGGGTTGGAGAATTTGTTTGGAGAGAAGGAGAGAGATGCGATCTATCAGGGTAATGCGGTTAAGCTGCTGCAAAAAGGGAAGAGCAAGATGTGAAAAAGTGGTAAAGATGTGTATATGAATAGTCTACTGGATGTGCTGCAGTGTCTGTCTATATGTACTTGTACGGGTTCATGATGCCGTTCTGTCAAAGTCAGCACATGATGAAAACGGATCGAGCTCGAGCAGCCACTTACGGGGTCGTATAGATCCTTGATTTGCTTCATCAGCTTGATCATGGTTTCACTCTTACTGTATCCAATATATGGCTTCTTCGTCACTCCCAAGCCATGCTCGGCACTGATGCTGCCATTACGCTTTTGTACCCACTCGTAAACAAATGGCTCGAGCTTCTTCTCTACAGCCTTGTCAAACTTCCTGACTGGGATGTTGAGGTGCAAGTTGGCATCGCCCATGTGACCGTATCCAACGACGTCAACTACGGGGTGCGAGGAGTCGTTGCCAAGCAGGCCAGCCTCTGTCAAGCGATCGCGGGTCTCGTTGACCAGATCATAGAGCTCAGCGATGGGTATCGACAAGTCGTACTTGTAGACACCTCCATCGTGACCAAGGCACTCGGTGATGCCTTCGCGCCATGACCAGAGCTCCTGAATCTGAGTTTGGTTTTCGGCGAGAACACCATCGGAGACGACTTCAGTTTCCATCACATGTTCAAGGAATGCTTGCAATTTCTAGACAAGTTAGTAGCCGGTCTCGTTCGTGCCATGAGTTTGCTTACCTCGCCGTCATGTTCGGCGTTAGAGCCGCTGGTCTCAATCAGGCAGTAAAATGGATGCTCGCCCTCTAGGGGCATCTTTTTACCGGTGACCCTGTTGACCAGCTTTTGTGTGCGACCGTCCATCAGCTCAAAGGCTGATAGAATCTCAGATAAGTGCCCTTTCGCCTCGATGTACGCCTTCTGGACCTGCTCGTAACTTTCCAATCCGAAGTACGCGACGTTGACGGCGGGTGACCTTCTCGGGCAGATAATTGAGACCTTGGTGATGATGCCGATAGTGCCTTCTCCGCCGATGAACAGTTGCTTCAGGTCGTAACCAGTGTTGTTTTTCCGGAGCGTGGAAAGGTCATCTACAATGGTACCATCCGGTAGGACTGCCTCAATGCCTAGGACGTTTCCGTGGAAGCTACCGTACCGCAAGAGACGGAGACCACCGGCATTTGTCGCGACATTGCCACCAATGTAGGCAGAGCCCTTAGCGCCGAGATCCAATGGGAAGATATGATTCTTTTCGGCGAGGAAGTTGTCGGCGTTCTCTAAGATCACACCAGCATCAGCGACGAGGATACCGGATACTTCATCAAAGGACCTGATTTCGTTCATCCTCTGCATGTTGATCACAATCTCGTCAAACACAGGCACAGAGCCACCGACAAGTCCAGTGTTACCGCCCTGAGGTACTACGGCGAGCATGTTGTCATTGCAGTATTTGAGGATCTTGCTGACTTCTTCCGTAGAACTGGGCTTCAAGACTAGTTTGGTGTGGCCACGGAACTTGCGCATCCAGTCGCTGTTGAAGGCTTCAATATCATCGGATGCATCTTTCGACACGCCATCTATGATGGCCGAATCGGAACCTAGAAGCTCTCGAAAATATTTTACATGCTCCTCGCTGACTTTGGCGAATTTGGAGTCTCTTTGAAGATGCGGGTATCTACGTAGCGTTAGCAAACCCCTCCAAAAATCCAAACCTCAACACATACGACTCGGAAGTGAACTTGATGGATTTTGACGACGCGGTCGGGCCTTTCACTCCGCCATTTTCGTCTGGTTGGTGAGGCTCCGAAGTCGCTGACGTACTACCCGTCCATCGTACTTGACTTGTTGGTCGCAAATATTGATAGCGTGATGCGGCGCGAGAAGAGAGTGCAGTTCGTCGCAGTGACGAGACCAAGCGCGCTGAAGATGCCATCCCAATTGACCGGAGAAGAAATGCGACGGGCGGCGGAAATAATCAAGTCGCCTTCACGAATATCTACCATGATGACCTAATTCGACAGGGTAAGCACGGGCCAGACGCCTTGGCGTAGTTTAGGCGGGAGCAGCGACGCGGACAGCTCTGGAGCTCCGCGAGCAACTTGACGACAGCCGTACCTCTTTGCCCAGCCGCTTTTTCTTAGCTATCGTCGCCGTATACAAGCAAACAACGAGGAGCCTACAGATTACCATACATCCACTTTCACAATGGCGTCCGGCTACGATCGAGCTCTCTCCGGTACAAACAACCAACACATGGAGATGCGGGCCTAGCTAACTCCGCCAGTCTTCAGTCCTGACGGTCACGTCTTTCAGGTCGAATATGCGCTCGAAGCAGTCAAGCGAGGTGCGTAGTACACGAAGAAGAAAGCGAAAGTCAGATGCTCATTCGCCCCAGGAACATGCGCCGTTGGTGTCAAGGGCTCGGACATAGTAGTACTCGGCTGCGAGAAGCGATCCGCAATGAAGCTGCAAGATACCCGCATTACACCCTCCAAGATCTGCCTCGTCGACACCCACGTTGCCCTCGCCTTCGCTGGACTGAACGCCGACGCCCGTATCCTTGTCGACAAGGCCCGCCTCGAAGCACAATCACATCGCCTCACAGTCGAAGACCCGGTATCGATAGAGTACATCACTAAGTACGTTGCAGGCGTGCAGCAGAGGTACACTCAGAGTGGTGGTGTCCGACCATTCGGCATCAGCACACTGATAGTCGGCTTCGACCCTAATGACAAGACCCCGCGCTTGTACCAGACCGAGCCTTCTGGTATCTACTCAGCATGGTAGGTTGCATACACAAAGTTACACTTCTCTGTGCTAATATTACCCAGGAAAGCAAATGCGATTGGCCGATCGAGCAAGACAGTCCGCGAGTTCCTCGAACGTAACCACAAGGAAGGGATGGACCGGGAAGAGACAATCAAGTTGACGGTCAAGTCACTATTGGAGGTGGTGCAGACTGGCGCGAAGAACATCGAGATTGCCATCATGGCACCCGGAAAGCCCATCGAGATGTTGCCCGTTGAGGATATTGAGAAGTACGTGGAGAACATCAACACAGAGAAGCAGGAAGAGGCGGCGAACAGGAGGCCTGGACGGCAGCCCGGTACAGGCCAGGCCGCTATTCTCACCCGCCAGACCCCAGCTGAGGGCTCAGGATCTGGTGGCGCATAGAGGCATGGTTAACGACTGATGGCGAAAAGGCATGAACAGCAGTGGCGTCGGGTGATAGACTTTATGATTCTGTATAACGCAGATACGACCAGCTAGTGCTCATAAATGGCAATCTAGCACACCATGAAGTGTCTTTCCACGTCCAACCCCTCGCTCGTCGCGTGATGTTCTTGGGTGAGGGCCCCCGCCCTACGGGTTTGTAGCTTGTGCTACGCATAGTACTGTATGTCGCGGTATCCCACTGGTTCAGCCCAACTTGTCCGGTGCTTCCTTGACATCGAATATGGTGCGCATCTCTTCGGCTCGTACACGTTCGTCCTTGAGCATCCTGCAGAATTGTTAGCAATATTCCGTCACTGACCAGGGAGGCGACCTACCTGGCGTCCTTTCGCACATCCTCGCCCTCGACTTGCAGCGAGGCCTTGGGAGTTTTGGCCTCTAGAACGAAATGGTTGTCGCAGTGCGGGCAGTACTCGTCGCTACCACTCATCAGCCAGCGCCACATGAAAAATACACATTCCATTCTTACGCGTCTTCGAATTCGCGCGCATCCTTGCGGAAGGCCTTTTTGCACTTTTTGCAGATGAAGACCATGTCAAACGTCTGCTGTAGCGGGTGGTCGCTCTGCTCCTGGTGGCACTCGGCGCAATCGAACCATTTCTTGCCTATCCCTTCTCAGCATTCATCGCATACATCTCGGCACGGGCGACGTACAGCAAGGCGAGCGGATGGAGACCTGGGCGTTGAGGATGTGTCTGCTACATGGGCATCAGCCAGCCGCGGAGGTCATGGCGGGGGAGTCTCGGAGGCGACAAGAAAAGCGTGCTTACCACATGGTTGGTGTCGGTGAAGGGGGACTACGGCGCTATGGGAGTACAGACTGACGGCTGCAGGCTGGCTAGTTTGGCGTTTTGTATGCTCGTCTATAATTCGCCGGTGCCTGATCGCCTTGCCGTTGGTGGTGTGCAGGGTTCCGTGCTGCTGCGCTGTGGGGAATGACAGTAGCAAGACACGACAACACCGCTCCAAGCCGCCCGCGCCCAACGCAGCCCTGAAGAGCCTCTGTCCACGGGTATCGCCTGCAAACCGGAACGTCACCTGACCGTACACACACACGGAGAGCAGTCGCGATAGCCGTTGCGTTCCGACAGTTGCGAAACACCTGCACCCCCGCGCTGTCGCCGGTCTTCCCTGTCGCCGAACATTCTTAGCAGGCAGTATACGCGTCTCCGCTAGGGAGCCCTACAGTCACTCGGGCCTCTACCACATCGCACCGCCACCGTATCCACTACCACAAACACTACTGCACAGGCTATTTCTGGATCCTGCCTCCGTAGCGCTGGCTGCATGACGGCCCGCGAGCGACTGCCTCCCCTTCCACCCTCACAAGAAGCGCCAAATGGGAAGAAGACCTCACTGGTCGATGCGCAGCTATAGGATACCTCCCGGTGCCGGCTGACGACAAAACAATCATCATGGACAACCAGCAGGAGGAGAACATGGACGACTCGTCCATAGTGAGTAGCTCCTTCCCAGCACGAAGATGTTGCTGACGCCCAGCACAGAAGCCAGTGTCTTCCCTCCGCGCCCAGTTCGAGAACCTCCTCAGCACAAACAAACCCGCCGCGCCTGCCACTCCGCGACAACGCTCTCCCGGCCCCAATGATCGCCTTGCTATGCCCGAGGACAACAGGAGGACGGATGGGCGCATTTCCTTGGACATGCCCAGAGACTATGCTGAGAGATCCTCGCCCAGTGTGGCCGACTACAGTGGGAGCGGGACAGTGACGCCGCGCTCCAATACCCTCGGACGGTCGCTCTGGGGCAATACAAAGCAGAGACCAACGTCGATGATGGCCTTTTCTCCGCCCAGGTCACCAACAAGGTCCCCACCAAAGGTTACGGTCCAGTCACCAAGATCACCGCCCAAGTCCTCCGCTTCTCCCATACTCTCGCCGCAGCCCGAGCGACCTGCCCAGCACGCCGCGCTGGATTCGCCCTCAGCAGTGTCTGCCGGAAAGAGATTCTTCAAAATGCCCAGTCGCAATGGCACCCCCGCTACGGACGCGAAACCTACATTTCCAGCCCACACAGGCAACGGCCCCGCCAATGACCCGCGAAAGGGTGATCGACCGGTATCCTCTGCGCCTCCCGTACCGCCGCCTGTGAACCGAGCGGGTAAACCAAAGATACCACCAAAGTCGATTTCTATGGATTTACCAGCTCGTACAGGCCTGGCGCCCGAAGCCACATCAGACACTGCAGATATTTCTCCATTCAGTACACCACCTAGCAGTAGTGGAGAGAGCGTGAAAGGCGAGTCTTCTCCGCCAGTCATCCCAGGCTTCTCGAAACCAAAGATGACTGGAGGCAACAATGGTTACTTCGCAGCTGCTCCCGCATCTAAAGCAGTCGCCGAGAACCACCCATTCGCGGACCCCCGGCCAGTAGGAAAGCAGGCCTCGAAAACGATGCCGCCACCATCACCGTCTGACATGCCGGAAGACCGCCCATCGTTACCTACGCGACGAGAGAAGGACAATTTCGATCTGCGGAAGAGTGTACAACTACAAAGAGCACCTCCTCCTGATTTGCCAGTCCGACGATCTTTTGATCAAACCCGTCCTGGGCAAATGGTGCAAGAAGCGAACAACAAGTTCATGCCGCCCCCTCGGCGGACCAACACAACTGGTGCCATATCCGCTAGTACCGGAAAAGCGTTAGAACCTCCGAAACCACCGCCTCCACGGAACTCGGGGGAAATGAGAAGACCGTCACAGCCGATTACTGCGCAGGCATCGCAGCTATCACAGCCGTATACTTATGACTCGGATGAAGAAGATACGGGCGCAGACAAGCAACCGACGACTGCTTTAACAGACTACCCAGACTCCTCACAAGCGAACCGGAGACCACCAGTGTTCCCAGACGGTATAGCCGGTATCCCCACCGGCTACGAGACCAAGCTCTTTGCGATTTGTGGCGATTACATATGTACAACCGGATACGTGACGAATGTATGGAACGTTCTGAACGGGCGACTGCTCATGAGCTTAGCTCATGGCGATACAGTCAAAGCCACAGCGATTGCATTCAGACCAGCGAAAGATGTGGAAGATGAAGGCAAGCGATTATGGCTAGGAACGAACACAGGCGAAATGCATGAGATTGACATCCCCACGCAAAGTGTAGTGCACACTAAGAGTAACGCACACGCTAGGAGTGTCATCGTTAAGATCTTCCGCTATGCTGCAGAAATGTGGTCTCTTGACGAGGACGGCGTACTACACATCTGGCCAGCTGACGAGTTTGGATGCCCGTCCCTACAGCAAACTCCACTTACTTACCGTATCCCCCGTGGAAGCACCTTTTCTATCATCTCAGGCTCGCAATTATGGGTAGCCACAACGAAAGACATCCGCGTCTACGCCCGCACGTCGGATAACAACCATTTCCAGCAATTAACCCAGGGTTCGTTATCTCAGCTCAATATCGGAGACGTAACCTCCGGTGCTATCATCAGCAGTCAGCCCGACCGCATGTACTTCGGACACGCAGACGGGAAAGTTACAATATACTCCAAGAAGAGCTTCGAATGTCTTGGAATCGTGAATGTCAGTGTGTACAAGATCAGTTCCCTGGTCGGTGTTGGTGACGTCCTTTGGGCTGGCTACAGTACCGGAATGATATACGTGTACGACACCAAGTCGACACCCTGGAAGGTGTTGAAGGATTGGAAGGCACACGACAAGCCGATAGCGGGCATCTTGGCGGATCGTACGAGCATCTGGAAACTCGACAGGTTCCAGGTTGCGTCCCTTGGCACAGACACAATGCTGCGCGTCTGGGATGGCATGATGAAGGACGATTGGCTGGGTAAGTCGTACTGTGTGTATTATGTGGTGCCATACTGACAATTTGCAGAAAATCTAATGCAACAACGTGATGGGGAGTACTGCGAATTCAGAGAACTCTCGGCGCGAGTCATGACATGGAACGCCGGCGCAGTCAAACCCGCAAATATACGTAATACCGAGCAAGATCGCAACTTCTTCCGGGAAATACTCGAACCCGAGAATCCGCCTGATATCCTTGTGTTTGGCTTCCAGGAATTGGTCGATCTGGAAGACAAGAAGATCACGGCCAAGAGTATCTTCAAAAGAAAGAAGCACAAAGAGACATCAGAGAGCGAGCACATGTCACACCAATATCGAGCGTGGCGAGACCATCTTGTTCGCGTCCTGGACGAGTACAGTCCCAAACAGAACTACGTACTTCTGCATACGGCCAACCTCGTCGGTCTGTTCACCTGTGTGTTTGTAAAGGCTTCGGAACGGGCCAACATCCGCGACGTATGCGCAGCTGAAATCAAGCTTGGCTTCAGCGGCCGTGTTGGCAACAAGGGTGCACTAGTTGTGCGCTTCTTCATCGACGATTCATCCCTGTGCTTTATCAACTGCCATCTTGCGGCTGGTCAGACCCAAACAGTACATCGCAACAACGACGCAGCCGCAATCATGGAGAACGCACCATTACCAAAGAACCGCTCCCCAACTTCATGCGCAAACTACTTTGTTGGAGGTGGTGATGGTTCCATGATTCTGGATCACGAGATCTGTATCTTGAACGGCGATCTGAATTACCGCATCGACGCGATGCCTCGCAACACTGTTGTTGCTGCTGTGCAGCAAGGCAACTTGGCGAAGCTTCTCGAACGTGACCAGCTGCTTCTGTCACGCAAGCGCAATCCCGGTTTCCGCTTGCGGGCGTTCACTGAGATGCCGATAAACTTTGCTCCGACTTACAAATATGACGTGGGGACCGACAACTACGATACTTCTGAGAAGCAGCGATCACCTGCATGGTGTGATCGACTGTTGTACCGCGGCTTGGGTAGGATCAAGCAGTTGGAATACCGGCGACACGACACCATCAAAGTATCGGATCACCGTCCTGTCAGCGGAAGATTCAAGCTGCGTGTCAAGACGATTAATTCAAAGAGGCAGGACGCGACAAGAGACAAAGCTGAAGTTGAGTTCGAGGCTGTGCGCAGGCGGATAGCAGGAGATATCAAGTGAGTGAAGATGATCAATCGACCAAATTGCTTGTACTAACAACGTCGGCAGGCTCGACTACCTAATTAATGTCTTCGGTCTGTCCAACAAAGAAGCTCAAAAGCTACTGAAAGGAGCCTAAGCTATTTGCGATGAGACTTTGTGGAACGCTGGGCACGGAACCACTCCGTGCGTTAGCGCACATGCCAGCTACAACCGGCTTTTGGGGATGCGGTAGCTGAAAACCCATCATTAGTAGATCAAACATGGCGAAACACGATGACTACCGCCAAATGCACGGCTACCGACGATGTCAGGGTCATGGGCTACGGCTCGTAGCAAACCGCGATGCAAGATCGATCGCGATGAAGTGCGGGAGAGTGGGACACTAGGGGAGGAATTGACGAATGGGATTGTGTAGCAAAAGCATAGCATTGGAAGGCGAAATCTGGGCTCCATATCTGAGCGTTTTCGCTGACGGAAAGGCGCGTGGGCGCATTCTTTTTGACGATCGATGCCCGCAATGGGGATAAGGAATCTAGAGCACGCGTTGTCGCGTAGCGGAATTGTGGTCATGGTGACGTCAGATCAACGCGCCTCCCCAAATAAAGCATCGATGATGACGGCAAGCAAACATCAAAACCACCCACGTAACACCACCACATCCCCTCCAATTCTCTATTCATGTCCGCAGCTTCAATTGCATTCCGTCGGCTACCACTTCTAACGACTTCAAGAGCTGTGCCCCGTGCCCGACTAGTTGCTTCACACCTCACGCGACAGTATCCCGCTTTCTCTCAATCCGCCTTCAGAATGGACAAGGAACAGGTTAAGAAGGACCAGAGCCGCGGTCAGGAGACGACCGGCAAGTCTGAGTGGAAGCAGCGTCCCCCTTACCGCGTCCACGAGAAGAACGAGGACTTTGACGTCAAGTACGAGGCCAACTGCCATTGCGGAAAGGTCCAGTACCAGCTCAGCCGAAGGGAGCCTCTAGACAGCAAGCTGTGCCATTGTACTACTTGCCAGACACAACACGGTAAGCCTCCTCTCCGTAATCACGTTGGAATGAATTTACTAACGCCGACCCAGCCGCACCCTTCCAATGGGCCGCCATCTTCCACAAAGACGACATCAACTTCACCAACGGCCATCACGACCTAGAATGGTATGACCCAACCGACAAATCCATCGAGCACAAGCTACCCTGCAAAGTGCGCTGCTCCTACTGCCACTCGCCCATCATGGACGAGGGCCGCAACATGATCTTGCTCTTCCCCTCGCTTGTGCACCTCAAGACCGACGAGGACAAGGCGTACTTCAAGCCCCGCTGCCACATGTTCTACGGCCAGCGTGTTATGGATATCCCAGATGGTCTGCCTAAGTGGAGTGGACTGAGTGGGGATTCCGATCTTATTGAGGACAGCCCGCCGGATATGGTCAGGGAGCATGAGAGGAAGCGTGAGGAGGAGAGGCAGAAGAAGTTGCAGGAGGGTGAGCCCGATGAGGTTACTAAGGAGGGGACGCAGGGGAGGAAGGAGGGCGGTGGGTCGAACTCCAAGTAAACCCACACTTGGCTTGCGGCTCGAAGAGCTATGATCACGCTCAAGCATATTGGGCTTGACGATGCCTTGCCAGACAAAATTTCGGTGGTTTGGCGGCTTGTTCATAAGGGTTTGTGTATGACGACATGATGTTGTCGGGTGGGTGGGTGGTGGCCGCGACAAGAGTCACGAGCCTAGAAAAGATCTTGATACAGTACATGAATCGATCTGATACCCATGAACAACCTCTCTGTTGTTTGAATGTGAAGCTTCATTACTACCTTCATACTACAGTATGACTTCGAGATCCTATGAGAATCCTGAAAGTCTTAGGCAATATCATCCTTACCCATTAGACATCCAAGGAGATCGCCTGTAATCCACCATGCCCTCGCCTTTTCCGAGGTGAATCCTCGTCTCTATCCTACATACCCCTCTCTATCCCATCGTACGTCGCCCTCGCATCTACTTCGGCATACAATTGACGTCAGCACCCTTCGGCTTCCACGGCAAGTCGTTCTTCAAGAACGAGTCCATATCATCAACCTCCCTCTTACAGTCATAGTTCAGCCCCTTCGCCGTACTATGCGGACCCTCAAACAAGACGTTCATATTATATCCATTCGACAAAAGCACCTCGGCATAGTCCGTCGTCATGCAGTCCCGAAAATGCTGAATCTTGTCGCCCTTGATCCGGTTCATGTAGCAGTTCTTCGGGTCGAAGGTACCGCGCTCGAATGCCGCGGCGATGGTATTGCTCAAGACCTTGCGGACGTCGGTGTGGCCGCCCCAGTCGGCCATCAGGACGTGGAGGCTGATTGTCGCCTTGACGCGGCGCCTCTGGTACGGGGGACGCGAGGTGGACTCTACGACTGAGACGGAGAATGAAGCGGGTCTGTCCAGGCAGTAGTTTTCGGAACAGAGCTCTTCGAGGGCTTTGTTGACGTCGTGGTAGAGGGTCTTGCTGTCGCCGACGTTGATGCCGTTGTGGCCTAGGTTGAGGGTGATGGTCTCGGAGCCGAGTGCTACATCGGTGGCTGTGGTCATTAGCAAGAGCTTTCGTCGCGGTGGGTGGCACTACTCACTTTCTCCCGTTCCGGTTGCTGGTGCAGCAGTAGCTGTGAGCATGCTGCATGCTGCCAGGAAGACAGCAGGGACGAAGATCCTCATGGTGACTCCTCGGGTGGTGTTGTGTGAGGGTAATTGCTGAATGGAAGATGTGCCGTGAATTTGAAGGTAGCGGCGATGGAGATGTAGAAGAAAAGGAGAAAAACCTTCGAGCCAGCAAGGTGAGGAGATTTTAGGGAGTCTGCAGGAGCTACGATGAACAGTGAGTGAGGAAAGTGAAGGTGAACATTTCTGACGAGGGAAGGAGCAATGCTTTAGTTTGGAATGCATGGCAACCTGGAAGCTGTGGCCTTTCTTTGGCCATGAAAGAAGCAGAAGCGAATCACAACTAGAACGAAGATATCAGGAAGAACTCAACTTCCTCATTGGATTGTGCATATGAGGCTGCCCAAAAGAACATTTAGTACATGAAAGAATCGAGAAGTGGAAGTGGCACATGAGAGCTTTGACTTTGGTCCCTCTTGATTCTGGATGTGATAGAGTGCACAGCACTGATGCCAGTTCTGTACTATCACAGCATACTTAACGCGCAAATTCCAAGAGCAAGATCTATTTGCTCTTACCAGTAGGAATCTGGAACGCAACAACCGCCCCGCCATGCGCAAAAGCGCGGTCGATGCGGAAGAAGCCCTTGCGGTCAAACTGCACGATATCATCGACCTTGAGCTCGGCGACATTGCAGTCAGCCATAGCCTTGGTCCTCGTCTCAGTCTCCTTATTGAGGAAGTCGTCGAGGTTGTCATCAGGCTCCAGCTTATCCTTTGTGATGAGGTAGTCGTAGTCGACCAGCTCAACAGGAATGAGATCTTGATCATTGCTCAACCATGTGACCTTCTTGGACGTCTTCTTGACATCACCCTGGAGGTGCAGTTCGAGCTCGAGGCCGGTGACGGTCTTCAGGCCATGCTTGGCCATCTCGAGGGGGTTGATGGAGTGGCTGATCTTGCGCACAATGGCGTTACCCCAGTTCATCAGTGTGATCTCCTCGTCTTGAGCGAAAGACTGCGCGTCGGCTTGCTCCATGATGACGGAGGAGCTGAAGACGATCTTCTTGTTACCGAGATCGTACTTGGCGTGTTTCGGCTTGTCCTCGGAGATGACGCCCTCGCGTGCGCCAATGATCGTGACAGGAACGCGACCAGAATCGTCAATCGCAGTGTAACGGGCAGCAGTAGGCTCAATGTGCTTCTTGTTGGTAGCCCAGAAGGCGAACCAGTCCTGGTTGACAATGTTCTTGGAGGGACCTTGCTTGAGGATGAACTCGCGGAGAGCCGGGATGACGGCACCATGGCGACGGACACCGCGCACAGTTGGCATGCGCGGGTCGTCCCAGCCCGCAACGATACCAGCATCCACGATCTTGGTGAGCTTGCGCTTGGACAGCACCGTGCGGACAAAGTTTAGACGCGCGAAACCCCAGTTGTGCACCTTGCGCAGTTTGAGGTTCTTGATGAACCATTGGTACTGTGCGTCGCGGTCGTTGTACTCGGTCGTACGTAGCGCGTGGGTGACGCCCTCAAGCGAGTCGACGATGGGGCAGCAGAAGTCGTAGGTAGGGTAGATCTTCCACTTCTCGCCGGTGCGGTGATGCGCCTGGGGGTTGCAGCGGTAGATGACAGGGTCGCGCATGGCCTTGTTCGGGTCGTCAACCGACATCTTTGCGCGGATGCACCACTTCAGGCCCTCCTCGTTGCCCTTCTTCATCTCCTCAAAGTGAGCGAGATTGTCCTCAACGCTGGCATCACGGCGAGCGCTAGCGATTCCGTTCATGCGCTCGTCGCGCATCTTCTCCTGTACTGTGTCGTCTGCGTATGCCAGTCCATCCTTGATCGCTTGCACACAGCTCTCGTACAACTGGTCGAACCAATCACTGGTGTATGAGACCTGGTCTGGCTTGATGCCGAGAAGCGCGCAGTCCTCAACGATAGCATCCTGGAACTCTTGCTTCTCCTTTGTGGGGTTTGTGTCGTCGAAACGTAGGATGAGTTTGCCCTTGTACTTCTCGTGCGCGAAATAGTCGTTGAGCAGCGCTGCCTTAGCATGACCGATGTGGAGGTAACCTCTGTGAAACAGTTAGAAGTGATTCGCCTGGTTGAGAGAGTAACTTACGAAGGCTCAGGCGGAAACCTAGTGACAATCCCCGACCCATCACCCACATCCTGCAACCCAATATCATAATTCGCATCATCATTCTTACCCCCCTCCTTCTTTCCCTTCGCCTTCCCATCCTCCTTCTTACCCTGTCCCCCACTAACAACAACCACACTCTGTGGATACGCCTCCTCGATATACCTAAACCAGCGACACAGGTTCTTCATCAGATCCTGCTTGATAAAGGCGTGCGCAACGCGGTTCTCGCGGATCGTCTTCCATACTATGGTGTCGGCGTCGGAGAGTGTGTAACCGACAATGTGCGAGCGCAGGGTGAGGTGGGCGTCGAGTTCGAGGAGGTGGGGCTCGATTTGCTTGAGGTTGAGGGGCTTGAGCGCCTCGGAGCGTTGTTGCCATTCGGCGATTTGCGCGTCCATGTTGGCGGTGGGTGTATTGCGCGTATGGTGTTGTCGTCGGACAGTCTTTGGGGTTGGGAAAAAGACGTGGTGGGGTGGACTGATGACGCGGGGCAGCGCCTTATCGCTGAGCTTGGCAGGTACGAGTCACTACGGAGTACAGGGCTGTCTTTTCTGTGCATCGACACTTTAGTAGCGAGTGTTATATAGATCAAGATGACTCACTAACAAGCATAGAATGCGCCTTTGGCTCAGGATATAAACTGATCTTGGTACGGGCTGATCATTGCGATGACTCGATCTTTCCCATCACATTATCACACATCACAGTTGAAAAGCTCAAATATCGTTTTGTTACCAAATACGCCATAATAGTATTCTCACACCCCATATCCTACAGAAACGCCGAGTTATGCAAAAGCGCCGTAACGGCCGTCGCGGTCATACTATAACCAAACGCTATCATTACAAGTCATAATACGTACTTTGAAGAGAAAATTCGCAACAAAATCAAGCACACTCCCACTGAGCGAAAACACACCACCTCGCGCTTCGGTCGGCAAGTACCAAGCCTCGCCATGTGCCCTTCTCTCCAATCTTGATGATCGTCTCCCAAGCCGTACCGTCGGCATCGTTGGTACTGCTCATGTGCTCCGTCTTTCTCGTCAGGCGGATAATCTTGCCAGAGGGTGTTTGCACGGCTAGCTTGGCGGGCTTGTTGCTCCTACTGTCTGCTGATCCGGAAGAACTTTGAGATGGGTTTGTGTAGTTGGAACCAGTAGCTGAGATGCTCTGCATGCTCATAGCAGAAGCAGGACGGGCAAAGGGATTTGGCGACGCTCGGCCATGCATCGCAGGACTGGGTTCGGGCGACTTTGTGAGGGATGATGGATGCTGGCGCACGCAAAAGACGAAAGTGTTGTTTAGAGCCAAATTGGCGCACTGTGGCTGAGCGACGTATAGATCGTTTCGTTGGGCATGGGGCGTAGGATGCAGTGTCAAGAATGAGTACGGAGGATTGGTGCCGGTATGGGTCATTGGAAGGCCGATTGCCAGATTGTGAGGGTTCATCTTGTTTGAGTGCTGGAAAACGTTAGTATGCATGTATTGACAGTGTCTTAAAACAAACTTACCATGAGTCCCCGAGGTCCTGCATAGATTTTTAGGACACCCTGACCTCCATCACCCGGTAGAAGAGCCTTGACGGTGTATCTCTTCTGGCCGCCGTACCATTCAGCTTGCGCCAATGCCGGCTTTTTGACAATTTCACCGCTTTCGAAAAAGTCGCCGTCCATGTCTTGTGAGTAGGATCTTGCCTCGACTTCCGCAACACATTCTACGTCTTCCGGCACGTCAATATACACGTGACCCATCTCGAGGTTATCCAAATTGAGAAGGCTAGTGTCAAAGTTGACCATATTGAGACCGTGGCGGAAATAAGCCGGTGTTGCGCAAGGCAGAGCCATCAGCACCTCGTGAGGCTGTGGAGGGCAAATGTGTTGCTGTTCGGGCAGGAGCGGAACATGAGAATAGCAAATCTCCATGGGACGAGCGAGGAAGTACCACGTCTCCGCCACGGATGATCCCGCCGTTGAGTAGTGGACTCGCTTTGGATTTGTAGGCCCAGCAAGCGAGCAGTCCATGATACGCCACTCGCCCTCAACGATGACAGCGTTCCAGAAGTGATTCGGTCGGGCAACGCTTTCCAGATCCAGAGGTTCGCCAGGCGTCTTCAAATAGCCACGAACAACTTCAGCATGCATGCCAACAGAAGCGCACATCTCTGCCACAACCATGGCGATCTCTTGAGAGCATCCACGCTTGCCCTGAATCACATGCTTCGGGTCCATCTCGCCTTCGAAGTCGTCCTCCCACGCGATACGCTCGCTGACCCAGGTAAAGATGGCCCGTAATCGTTGCATATCGCTCCGGTAAGGTCGGCAAACGTATGCCTGAGCCAAGGTTGCTGGGTTAGTTCCAAGAGGAACGCTGTTGATGAAACGCGTGCTTTTGTCAACGTGGCCAAGACTGCAAGCTGCGAAATCGGTAGGCTCGGTGATGGGAAGGCCATCAAGACCCTCGTCGCCTTCCGCTGACTCGTACAAGATCTCAATCGGGTTCAAGACGGGGATATCCATCATTTGGCATCTTTCGGCTCGCTCCGCACGCTCGTTCTTGCTGAGAGAGTTGGATCGGTTGACGTCACGGCGGACTTGTACCCAATCCACCGTACCCAGGCCCGTATCTCTCGAGGGGTTTGCCGTGTGGGTCGCTTTGCCTCCTTCGATGCCTGTTGACTCATTGCTGTCCATCCGGCTTGCGGCGCGACTGGTTGCACGACCCGCTGCTCGGCTAGCAGCCCGGGATCCTGGTCTGCTTATCGTGTCGATGGTGCTACGAGCATTTGCCGCCTGAGTCTTCGCCGTGTCTATCATCTTGCGGAAGAAGCCGCTGCGCTTCGTCTTCAAAGGCTGCCTCAGTCCACCAAGCGGATCCGGGTCGTCTGTTGCTGGTGTGCTAACCTCAGCTTGCTGGTTATCACTGGAACCAGGTCGTGGCTGCGAAGCGTGGCTGGAGTGATACGTGACACCAGTAAAGGGCGTCTCTGGTCGTCCATCGTCGAAGCCGTATCCCTTCCCAGCTGTGTCCTTCGTGTTCATTACGCTCTTCGGTCGGTCTTTGCCAAACTTCTTGCGGTAGTAGCTTCCGGCGCTTGTAGCACTCATGTTCGTCGCAGAGTGTCCAGACATCAAGCTGCGATCAGTGCTGCTGCTGGTATGGGTCGTAGTCGTAGAGTTCGTTTTGCTCGTAAATGTTCGTCCAAGGGCATTACGTCCCATGTTGTAAGCAGATTTGCGGTGGTTAAGCAGTTTCGAGCCCTTTCGTTGAATTTCTGGGTCAGTGTCTGCCCTCGAGGATCCAGGCCTCTGATGGGAGCTTTTCAAAGGTACAGTTGGTCCTTCATCGTCGCCAATGAAGAGTTCACCGTTCCTGGCTTGTTCCTGCTGTTTCATTCGCCTCAGACGACTCTCCATGCGCTTCATGTAGTTGTTGACGTCTGGCAGGCCTTCCTCTTCATCCTCATCACCTTGGTCCATCGCGGACTGTGCCCTGACCTTCTTCGCTGACTCTTGGTACACTTGGTCGAATGCCTCTGGAGACCACGGGTTCGCTGGAGTTGGAGAGTCTTCTGGCGATTCGTTACTGTTCGACGTTGTCATATCCTGCAGAGACGTCATGACATCGTCCATCGCTGCCGTGAGCGGGGAAGGTGTGAAGTGGCCTGCACGTGTTCTTGGGTCAGGCGAGGGCGGTTCGGGTGTGATGAAGCCATTGTGGGAAGGAGGCGCGGGAGATGGAGCTCTGCTGGGGTCGTAGGCTACACGATGCGGTGGTGGTGGTGGAGGTGGCGGCGAGCCAACGTCTGCTTCGAATTCGTCATCGTAAGGCGCAGGCGATGGACCGCGGCTGTGATCGTCGTAATCGAGTTGGTGTTGGTAAGGAGATGGCGATGGGCCTCGGTCGTATGCGCGGTATTGGATCGAGGGGGCTGGCGAGGCAGCACGCGAACGCTCGCCAAACGATGGGGCTGGCGAAGGACCACGGTCGTATGCTCTGTACTGGAACGAGGGCGCGGGAGAAACAGCTCTCGAGTGCTGCTGGTAGTGAACTGGGGGTGCTGGCGAGGCTGCGCGGTATAGATCCTGACTTTGTCGTGGAGGAATTGGCGACGCTGCCCGGTAATAGTCTTGATGTTGTCTCGGGGGTGCTGGCGAAGCTGTTCGGTATAGGTCTTGTATCTGTTGTGGGGGAGCTGGAGATGCCGCTCTGGCGTAGTTTCGATGTTGTATGGGAGGTGCAGGTGACACTCCACGAGGCTGGTATTGATATTGGGCTGGAGGTGCGGCAGCCTGTGGCGGGATGTACGAGCCGCGTCGGATGGGAGGTGCTGGCGAGACGGCGCGCGGTTGGTAGCGGTATTCGGCGGGCGGTGCGGGAGAGGGTGCGCGTGCGTGCGAGCCGTGTCGTGAGGGTGGTGCTGGCGATACAGCTCGTGCTACAGGCGTCCTCTTGGAGGCGGGTCGCGGTGACACTGCGCGCAGGTTCGACTGTTTTCTTGTCGACGTGGCGGGCGACGGGCTGTCTCGGCTCTCGATGGACGACCTCTTCATCGACGAGTAGGGAGACTTGGTCTTGACACTGCCGTTCGGTGAGTTGATGCCGCCGGCCTTGAGCCTCTCTCGTGCCGCTGCAGCTGGATTCGGGGCGCCTGCAGCCGCATAGGCCGTGAAGGGCTTCCTGAACATGCTCTTCTGCTTCTGTGGCGCGGGCTTCGGCTGTTCCTGGGCACTGTTCTGCCTCGACATGCTTCCGCCGCTGCCGTTGCGCGCCCATGGCTGGTAGTCTTCGCTGAGCAGCTCGACAAAGTTGGATGGAAACAGGCCGACCATGCGCCTGTCGCGCTTCAACCGGCCCATCCACCAAGCTCCATCGCCGGCATTGAGGACTTCAATCAGATCGCCTTCTATGAATCCGAGATCGCGTTTGGTCTAGTATGGCGTCAGTCAAGATGCAGCAGCAAGAAGCTTCCGTCTGAACTTACCTCGCCTCCCCATGAATAGACAGCTTTGCACCAGCAGGGAAAGCGCACTGGAAGCGCCTGGCCGACTGCCATGTTGGGTATTATTCGGTTGTTGTATTACACAGTACTTGGTGTTGACCGGCAACTTGTTCGGGGTATGCACGGCGCGTGGATGACATGCGTCGATTAGAATAGTGAAAGGCGGCGTCGATTAGGTGTGGGACGCGCAAAATGCTCCAGCGAAAGACAGATGTCGATGGTAGCAATGGGAGAGAGCAGTTCTCTGTGGTCACGCCCCGATTGATAGCGGGGATGTGGTATGGTAAAGCTAAGCAGGGCCTATCGCAACCTGACGTCCCGTCTTGGTTGGGTAAACACGATTCAGCGACCGCTCCCCGGGCAACCGCGACCCGCACTGACCAGGCTGCGGCCCACTTCG